ACATTATTTACAAGTATATATGGGAGAGGGGGGAAATGAATTCCATAAGATTCAAACACGTCACCCACGGAAATAAATAGCTCTAACTCAGAGTCCAATATCACTAGGTCAAAACGGGCCATTCAACTCAAGTCTTGTTCTTGACATAAATAATTTACAATTTTTCAAAATAATTTAAATTTTGAATGATTATGTATATGGATGGATTTAATTCAATATACAAATATTTAATTTAAGATATAAAAATAATTTATTAGCAACATTTATTAACGATATTTTTCAAAACACGTGGCATACGATTTCAATTTGGATTGGTAAACCAAAACTAGTCAAAGTTCATTCTAGAACATGTCTACCAAAATTTACCAAGTCCAACTCTCTTTGAGACGACAATATGAGAGCGCACTAAATTTCTTTATAAAAAATTGATACATTGAAAAGGGCAAGTGAATTGAATGTGATTCCTGAGATGACTGGAAGATTCACCTCCTTTTTGAAAATAAGAAAAGGAATTCTGGGAGAGTTCACGGATTTTAAGGAGTCCCCACTTCCTTACGAAAATGTAAAGAGGAAAAGAGAAGTTTCTGAGAAAGAAAGATACTACTTTTTTAAAAGAATTTAATTATTTTAGTTTAAGTTCTATATAAAATTTGATTATTAAAAAATTTTATATAGTAAATAAAAATAATTAAAATTTTTTATATGTAATTTTTATTAAGTATTTTTATTTAAATTTAAAAAAATTAATTAATATTTATTATATAAATTTATTAAATTAATTTATATAAAATTAAAAGATTAAAATAACTAAAAAAATAAAATAATAATTTTTAATTGAGTTGTACAATAACATTAAATATAGATTAATTTATAAATTTTTTTTATTTCGGTTGGACAATGAGAGACAATCATATTTTATCTCTTATTTCACCCCACACACCCGCATGTCATACGATTTGAATTCATGATCTTTTATTTTTAACGAAAAGAGATGATTAATGAATTATTTAAATCGTTGATTATTTATAAATTTATTAAACTCCTATAATATTAAAATATGAACTTATAAATTTATAAATATTTTTAATAAAACTTTTTCTTATATAATTTTATTAATAAAATTTTAATAATTTCCTTAAAATTATATTTTTAGTGTAATCCAATCTAAAAAACATGAAGAAAGTCGTCACTCTCAAAGAGGCACCAAAGAGCTCGTATTGACCGTCCCAGCGCTCTTCACCGTCGCAATCCACCCTTTTTCTGACGTGTAACATCACCACCACTGCGACTTCCTGCTACTAGGCACCTTACCACCTCTTCTTTAAGAAAATTAAATAATTGAAAAAAAAATAGAGGGGAATCTATTTATACATAATTTTACATATATATTATATATGTAAAATTTTAATTATTTATTATTTTATTTTTAATAAATGAGATTTATCATATTTTTTAAATAAAAAATAATTATTTTTAATAAATGAGATTTATCATAATTTTTTAAATAAAAAATAATTATTTTTAATAAATATAAATAAATCTAAACAATTGAAAGTGAAAAAAATGAATATTAAGATTTTATATAAATATAATTAGTAAAATTTATATATTACTAAATATATATGTGAAAAAATGTCTACCTGTTTTATCTTTTAAAAAAAATTAGGTATTTTCAAAAAATTTACTTTAAATTAATATTTTTAAATTGACTATACTTCTTAAATCCATATAAAAATTTATCTACATAATTTAATTATATGAATAAAATTTTTTATCTAACAATTAATTTTAAAATTAGTAATTAGAAGATAAATTTTTAAATAAATTAAAAAAAAAAAAAACTTAAGAGAAACTTACAAAACACATCGATATTTGAGAATGTTATCTGGGGACTAACTGACTATATATGCGTTATTGTTCGTATTTGCAGCGTCAGCTGCGTTGGAAAGTGCATCCACAACCCTAATTCCCTCTGGTTTCCACTTTCTAGTAACAATATTCCGACAAGAGAGCGTAAATAGCTAAATTATGTTTCATCAGTTACCTTTTCCGTGTTTTGGTGCTGTTCGAAAGAAAAAAAATCCTTTGCTATGATTTGTCTGGGTTTGAATACAGGTCTTATTAGAGGACACCAAAGCTTTTTGATAGGGGATGACACCAAACAAGTTTTAAAGCTCCGTTAGCAGGCCATTTAAACCATCAAAGGTTGGTTAGATAAAAAAAAAGAAAAAGAAAAAAAAGACCAGATGTAACCTCGTCATGTATCATTTTGACACTTTTTTTTTTTTATTATTATGATTAGTTGTACAACAAGAGGCAACCTTTTTTCATTTTTATCATACTCCATCTGTATATTATGTGATTCAAACTTAGAATCTCTTACTTTCAATGGAAAAAAATTATCATTGAACTATTTAAGTCGTTAACTTTTAATACTCTCTTTTAAAGTTTCTAGATTAATATGAGAAAAATTAAACTTTCTAAACTAGAATGATAATTAGTATAATGTGTGCATTCTGTGATAATTTGTAAAGCACCTGAGTACAACTTATATATATTCACATCAATACCTAGAAAAAAAAAATGTACTGTCGAACTTGGCCTTCGGGTCAAGTGGCTCTAACTACGTTTGTAAAGTTCATATCCCCCTCCCCCAGAACAACGGTTCGAGCCATCCCATGACAAAAATGTTCAAAAAAATATATATATGTATTGTCATAAAATCTTATAATCTTAGCTAGCTATAGTAATTATGTTTGGTTCTTTTTATTCAATGAGATTTGTTAATTGGTAATTTGATGTCACATGGTTATTGTGAGATTTAATTAATTTTTTATAAAATAAGATTGAGTGTTTATTTGTTGGGCTAGCTTGGGAGCACATGTGCCCATGAGAGAGTACAAAAATACATAAAGGAGACACCACTTTAACTTTAAAAACTTGCTTATTAATTAGGTTCATAACTCTTTGCATATATATTGCACTTTTTCAACTTTTTTTCTTCTAATGTAAAAATCTTTCACATCTCTTGATTCTACTTCATATGTGAACCTATACTCCAACAATATTAGCTCAACGAAATTCACGAACCTGATCTAATTTTAACGTTTTCAATCGGTCATGGCTTGGTGGACTTATACGTCAAAGCTTTGTATGAACATATAAAGTGTTGCAAAGGAACGTAGTAAACATAGAGAGTCGCTAGCATTTCTAATATACACTGGATGCAAAACCAAAACCTCTTTTTCTATATGTAATGGATCACCTTATTCAGTGTCTTGTTAATATTGAATTCCGATCATTTTAATTAAGGAAGAAATTAATAAAAATGAGGATACAAAGATGAAGAGGAAGAGTCAATAATTATGTACTGCTAAAGAAAGTGGCAACACACTTACGAATAAGTTACATTGTTTCTCGGATCAATCTTCCATACATACCTATCATGTGTTAGTATATAGTATAAATGTACCATTGGTGGCAGCTTCTGTTTCACCAATTATGGAATTTGTT